AAGGAAAAGTTGGGACAAAAATCCCGTTAGATTTATTTAACAATTATGCTATTTAATAAGCTAGCTTGTACAGAAGGTATTCTTGTATATAGAAAAGTTCGTTAGATTTAATAAAAGCGTTAGATTTATTTATGAGGTAATAAGGATAATGTTTTTAACGTTCTGTAACCCACACACACTATGTTTCAGTAGGGATCGGACATTCTGTCCTCAAACCCCCACTTTCACATTGTGTACATACTCATTCGTCACTCTTATTTGGATCTTTTTCATCATCTGATTTTTAGGGCTTGGGTGGTTTAGGAGTTTCATGAGAATTGATACATGAATTTAACACATATAATTTATTCCTATTATCATATTTTGATACTGCTTTCTCGATAATAGCCTTCATCGACCCTGTATACCTCGATTTAATCCATCGAGATGCGTTAATGGAGGCTTTTATTTCATCAGTAGCAAAATTATTATTATCATAAATTCGCGTGTATTTTCTTCTATCGGGCCTTTACTGATAGAAGATTGCATCTAGGTAGCCTCTTAAAAATGTACGCAACTTGAAAATATTAAATGAATTAGTATTATTGTGAATTGTGAAAACATTTGTCTTGTACTTACAGTACTGCTCCTCTAACTCAAATCTCATATTACAATACGATGATCTCCATATTCAATTCTTTATCATCTTCCGAAACCTCTAGACTATGATAGGTACTTTCTATTAAAATTGGATTAAGTTCCATTTATCAGAATTTCAAAATAATCAGATCTCCCATTTTTTGTAAGTGGTTAATTACGTTAGCCCTTCGTGTTCTTTTCTATTAATAAATTTGTTATATACATTATATATTGAATGATTAGTTGAATACATAATTAATAAACTGATTGGTTTATTACCTCCTTTCTGCGAGAATTCCCATATCAACGTTAGGTTTCTTTTATTTGTATAGCTTTATCCTTTTTTTCCTCAACATTTCCTCCCTTTAGTGGTAATGGCATTGATGAATCATTTCGTAAAGGACATCTTCGCCAATCAGGTACATTTCTGGATCTAATACCTTTAACAAAGCAGGTATTATTTATGTCATTACCAATCTCTTTTACGATTCAAATGTTTCATTAATATTAAGTTGATTATTTTTCAGCATTCGTTGGATGTTTCAGAAGACATCCTGCTAAATATTTATTGATTTTAATTAATAAAATCCATAAAAAAAATGATCTGAAAAAAATAATTTACTTACATATAAAGTATTACACAGATCTTCCATTAAATCTGATAAGTGGAGGTATATTACTTTCCTGAGGACATTGTTTGAATTATCATTTTCTTCAGCACTTGAACGAGAGGCTGATCGTTATCATTTTCATTCATTTCTTAGCTTCTTTTTTTCTGTCTCATTATCACTGTCTAAAATAATTAGATTATCCAAATTATCCCAGGATTTAGAAGAACTCGCAATACCATATTCTTCAGATATTTTGTGAGTGGCCAGTTTTTTACCAATTGATTTATTTGATATAGATAATTTACTTGTATTTACATCGCTGAAATTTAGAATTAAATCCTTTGGGTTTATCTCCTTTTATTTTCCTCTTTCAGCCCATTTTATATATTTCAATAAATAATTCGCTTGATCTTATTTGGTAAATGAATCTTTTAAAATAACAATGAAAAGATGTAACAAGGACTGCATAATCATACAACATTATATTATCATAATAAAAGCTTACCAATTTCAATATATTTATTTCTAGAATGTTTCTCTTTAATTGCTGCTTCTAATTTTGGATCTAATTTTAAAGAAATTTGACATCTTTTCTAGGTTCAGGGGACGAACTGCTACTGCGACTCTTAGAATTTCTCAGCTTTTTAAGTTCAGGAGATGAACTGCTACAACGACTCTTAGAATTTCTTAGCTTTCTAGATTCAGGGGATGAACTGCTACGACGACTCTTAGAATTTCTCAGCTTTTTAGGTTCAGGAACTGCTACTGCAGCTTCTTTGATTTTTCGATTTTTGACACTTCAATTTTCTGAATTCCAAGGGCTCACGACTTTCCAATTTTCTAGAATCTGAAAGCTCATGACTTTTCAATTTTCTGGAATATGAAAGCTCATAAATTATTAGTTCCAGCGACTTTGTACTTTTGTTTTGGATCTGCCTCTTTCACAACTCTTAAATTTTCTCGTTGACATAGTGAATAAATTTCAGAAGGTAAAATGAAATAACTAATGTTAAATAATTAATAAAATATAAAAAATCGGGAGAAGAAGTTTGAAAAATTGTTTCTTTTATATCTATAGAAACAGACTTTTTTATATCAATCGTCATAAATTAGACTTTCCAAATTACTATAAAAATAGACTTTAAGCTTTTAATGTAATGTATTCTTAAAAATCATATAAAATTTTAATTAATTAACCACAGTATCAAAATCATACAACAAAAACCATACTTTCAGGCTATTGATCAATTAATTATTTTTAATAATCTTTTATCAATCAGGCTAAACATGTAACTTTATTTTTAATTTTTTAAAGAATAATAAATCAGACTAATCATGCAATGATATAAATTATTTTATTAATAATTAATTTACAATCAAGTATTTATATACCGTTAAATCCTGTCAAAATTTATATTATTTGTCTCTTTATCTCTTTTTAATTAAATGATACACTCAAAAAACAAAGTTAGTTGTTCTTATAGTAAATGTAATAAAAAATTGACTGATCCCAGAACGTAAAAAAAATATATGGAAATAGAACAACAGATAGAGACCTGATATGAAACATCATCAAAATTAATGAAAGTAATATCAAAAAGAGCCTAGCAGGATAATGATAAAAGACATCAAAATTGAACTCTTCAGAGGCCTCAAATTCAACTAATTCGCCAGATTCAGCTGATTTATCTAACTAATTCTTCAGAAAACATAAGTTCAGAACAAGAACTGATTTCTGTTTAAATTAAACGAAGAAAAAATAAAAAATTCAAAGAATTGGAATCAGAAGCTGATGATAAATCTTATTTAGATTTTATATTATCTGACGAAGAATCTGTATTAAATAATGAAAGTGAAGATTCTGAAAATTCTGACAATAACGAAGGAGATTTTTCCCAAGATGAATGATTTACAACTCCCAATTGGGATGATTTTGATAACAGTAATGATTTTACATATCTTAATCCAAGTATTGAGTTTTCTGAAACTTGGATATTATTATGGATATATAAATTTCAATTGAGATTTTATCTATCTGATATCGCTATAAATTCCTTGATTGCATTTTTCGGTCAAGTGTTAAAAGATGTCAATCCAAGGTGATTTTATAAATTTCCATCCTCATCTCACAATGCAAAGAAATTGTTACAAATTGAAAAGATTGCAAAAATATATGCCATATGTCCAAAATGTAACAAATTACATAATTGTGCAGAAATTTCAGAAGACAATAAATGTAAATTTGTCAAGTTTCCTAATTATCTAATGAAGAAACATCGGGCAGAATGTGGAATGACACTACTAAAAAATATTCTAGTAACTAATGGTCACATAAAATTTCCTGTATGGTATTTTCTATGCTGGATTTGAAATCTCAGATTTTTGCGATGTATTAGCATTCTGACTTTGAACATAATATGACAAAGTGGATACATCAGTATGTTAATGAAAATGTACTGGCTGATATTTACGATAGAGAGATGTGGAAGACATTTCTATCATCAGTTGAACCAGAAAGCGGTTTGTTTTTTGCATCTGAGTTTGTAGATTCACATTTTGGAATAATTATTAATATTGATTGGTTCCAGCCATTCAATTATTCAATATATAGTACTAGAGTGATATATGGCGTTATCTGCAACCTCCCTCGTGAAATACATTTTTGACAAGATAATATGTTAATATTGGGTTTATTGCTAGGACCTAATGAAGTTCAGACCTATAAAATAAATCATTACCTATCACCGATTGTCAATAAATTACTTGAATTCTAGACAGGTATTAAATTATAAAGAACAGCAAGTTATCTGAGTGGCAGAACAATTCGAATAGCAGTTATTTGCTGTAGTAGTGATATTTTAGTAGCAAGAAAATTATGCGGACATATATTGGCATTGACTGCTTGTCATCGATGTTATAAGGTGACCAGTAGTTATGATGAAGAAGAAAACCTAATTTCAGTGGCTTTGATGACATGAACGATTGGTTTAGACAGAGGGATTTAGAAGCATTCTGATGAAATGCTCTTGCTTGGTGTAAGTGTCAAATATAAGAAGAAAGGAAGAAATATGTCTTTAATACATTTGTCAGATGGACAGAGCTACTTAGATTACCTTATTTCAATCCAATTCAGTATTTTTTTATAGATCCTATGCATAACCTGTTCTTAGGAATCACCAATTGGATTGTAAAAAGGTTGTAGATCGATGATGAAAAATATCCAAAGATGATCATGAATTAATAGAAAAACGTTTTAAAGCAATTAAAATTCCAGCTGATTTAGAAAGGATTCCTAATAAAATTGCTACAGGTGAAGGCTTTTCTGGATTCACTGCTAACTAATAGAAAACCTTCATCTTGGTATACACAATACTATTAATATGGGATTTGTTATTTATTTCAGATCGATAAATTTTAGCAAATTTTATCAGGCTTGTACACTCCCCTCCAAAAAATATCCGACCACCCGTCGATCATTGCAAATCCTAACATATTAAAATTTGAATTACGC